TACAAACAGAGATTATGAAAAATTGTTGAGGAACAATAAGTTAATAACTTCTTTTTAATTATCAAAGTTTAAATTCAAGGGAAAAATCTGAACTTCCGTTTTGTTATGTTCCGGTTTCGTTCGTAATGTTCGTTTTATTTCTATTCCAAATGTCCTGAAATGAGTTCGTTTTATCGTGTCGTTTTGAAGCTTAATTAAAAACCAATAGATCCAAAAATTAGTTTGAATAAAGATAACACTTCTCAAAAGGTCAATTAAGGGAAATTTATGGAAACAACTAAGAGAATGTCAACTTTGATCAACGGATATCTTATTACCAGAGTTGTGCTTCTTTTTCTCACTGGACGGGAACCCATTAAAGTTGCAGCCAAGTTGTCCATCCATCCTTCTCGGCGTGCCATGCGCTGATCAGTTCTGATTCGCGCCAAGACAGACTCGTCCTGTGAAAAGTAAATTTCGCAAATTGCTGAATGAAAGGCACGTCATCCAAAACTGTAAAACATCGCCATGAAGAAACAAATATCCACACAACACAATCCAGAAATAGGATGAACATCTAAATTTCAGTTGTCTACCAAAAAAAAACTAAGCTTAGAATCAGATACAAAATTAAAATTAATCACGACTTGATCGCCCGCATTTTCCAGCAGTTTAGTCGGTTTTATTGTAATTTCTCATTGGCTCTTATTGGTATTTTCCTCTCCGCTGACTGTCCTGATTGGCCCTAGCGATTACTCTGTTGTCACAACACTCAGTCGAAAAGCGCCCTAAGGACCCTTCCCAGATAAAACACCTTCAGAATCCCTGAAATTCCACTTCCAAATATGTAAGCCTTAGCGACCTTTTTGCTCGGATCCTGTTTCACCTGTTTGAAATTGACTAACCTTGTCGGCGCCCAAAATGTTGGCAACAGCATTGTTCTCGGTCATTTGCTTTTCTTGTAAATCAGCCATGATAAGAACAGATATTTCTTCTTGAAGTTTCTCTTCGTCAACTCCTTGTGTTAAGAGCTGTGCTCGTTTGGTCTCTATATGGAGAACCAATGCCTCTTTTAAGAAGTTCATGTGCTTAGCTCGGCTTTCAGCAATACGAGTTGCGTTAGCCTTCTTCTCTTCCTGTGAATTTGACAACAGTAAGACAAATGTAAGCTACATTATTATAGCTCTCGGTAATACGTGCCGGCGCTTGCGCACTTGGACGCGCCTGCGACTTCACTGTGCGGCTCGCTGATATTAAACGCGTCTGCATGAATCGAGAGCTTTCCCCTCTATTTGAACCGAGAAATATAATAAAGATCTTACTAACCTTGTTTTCTTGGTCCGTACTGTAATTTACGACACCTAGTTTTTCCGCTCAGATTTACGGCCCGCGCGAAAATTCGAGCGGAAAATAACTGTTTCGTAATTTACAGTATCCATTTTTTTTTCAATTTAAATCAAAAATGGAAGAAAAACTTATGGACAAAGTAAAATGCTAGTAAAGGAGGGTTAGGAAACCTTGGGGATGATACCAATATCAAACGACAGAAATAGGTATGCTTAAAAGGAAAACGAACGGAAACGAAAGTGGAAACGCGAAGAGATGAGAAACAAAAGGAGGAAAAATCCATACCTCTGTTTGTAATTCATCAGGAACAGCTTGCATTGCATCCCGAACTGCATCCAATCTCCAAGCTCTCCTCTGATTGCCTAGTTCATCCACTCGTTGTTGTCGTTCTGTCTCAGTTAAATACCTGGCTGCGGCTAAACCATCTTGATCTGCATCAGCTTTGGCCAAGAGGTCTGTGAGTGCCTAGATGAGTGAAAAGAGATTCTTAACCGTCATTTCTACACATTTCTCGAAGGGCAATTTCTTACGGACTGTCAAACAAGATTAGAGATTTGTATTGTTTTTCCTTACTTCTCCCGGAGACTGGTCCAGAACACTCGCGCCAGGCACCTAACCGAAAAGCGTCTTTTCTTCTTGCGTGTTCTAGTAATTTCCCTATCATGTGGGTTCACGAGCGTAAGTATGTGACATTGGAATAACATCGGAGCCAATCAAAATCCATTTGGCGGTCTATCGGAACTATCCGTTTCACGAACACTTGACGATTGTTACCCGAGATTGTTTATTAGAGTTCTCATTGGCTCCTTGTGATATTTTCCGTTGTTCTCATTGGCTGGTTGTGATTACTTCGGTTTTGGTTTTACGTCACTCAATCGAGGTTCGCTCTTTTGCTCTCAAACCCAGGAGCAATATGTAGGTGGCTTTTTTGAAACAATTCCGAGATGAGTCTGTTTGTGCACCCCTCCTAACAGCAGGAAACAAGGATCTTTTATAAGTCATGTAACCGTTAACGAAAAATACCTCTTGTTCTGAAGAGTGTTTTCTCTCCACCTCATTCAAAATGGCCTCCTGTAGTAGTGCCAGTCCTCCTTGCTCCACGTCCAGTGCGTTCCTCTTGTCAATCTCACTGTCCTCTGCCTGCTCCTTCAGAAGTTTCTCCTCCAGTTCCTTTTGTGCCTCTTCCTCAGATTTTTCCCTATTTGCCGCCCGACGAGCCTTGATGGCTGCGATGCGCTCACGAGCAAGTTGCTCCTGTCTTGCGCGATCCTTCTCAAAGCTGCAACAGAAACAGGGTTACTTTGTCAAAACTAGAAATTTTCGATCAAGCGTCAAAAATTATCTGGAACGACTTCGATGTTACTTTATTTGCTCCGTGATTGGTC